ATGAACCCATGTTGGCAGTGAAGTTAAAATGGCTTGAGCATGACATGAAAAGGCTTTAGAATCATACAGTGTGCATCAGTCAGCAGTGATGTCACTAAACTAATTAATTGACAGTATGTATTGAATGAGCCAGCCTTATAGAGAGGAGTAAACATAATAAATATATTGATTATATATATTGTTATTGATTTGAATGCATTGGTACTTTGATGCGACATTAACTGATACAGATTTAACTGCTACAGATGTAAAGTATAGTTACAGCACAGGTAAAGCTGCCATGCTTCATCATATATACACTGCTCAAAAAAATTAAAGGAACACTTTGAAAACACATCAGATCTCAATGGGGAAAAATATCATGCTGGATATCTATACTGATATGGACTGGGTAATGTGTTAGGAACGAAAGGATGCCACATCGTTTGATGGAAATGAAAATTATCAACCTACAGAGAGCTGAATTCAAAGACACCCCGAAAATCAAAGTGAAAAAATGATGCAGCAGGCTAGTCTATTTTGCTGAAATTTCTTTGCAGCAACTCAAAATGGTACTCAGTAGTTTGTATGGCCCCCACGTGCTTGTATGCATGCCTGACAACGTCGGGGCATGCTCTTAATGAGACCACGGATGGTGTCCTGGGGTATTTCCTCCCAGATCTGGACCAGGGCATCACTGAGCTCCTGGACAGTCTGAGGTGCAAACTGGCGGCATCGGATGGACCGAAACAATGTCCCAGAGGTGTTCTATCAGGGTCTGACAATGGGTCCAAGGATTTCATCACGATACCTAATGGCAGTTGGGGCGCCATTGTCTAGCCTGTAGAGGTCTGTGCATCCCTCCATAGATATGCCTCCCCCTGCCTGTCTCCTGGAATCTCCTCCATGCTCTTGAGGCTGTGCTGGGAGACACAGCAAACCTTCTGGCAATGGCACGTAATGATGTGCCATCCTGGAGGAGTTGGACTGCCTGTGCAACCTCTGTAGGGTCCAGGTATCGCCTCATGCTACCAGTAGTGACACTGACCCTAGCCAAATGCAAAACTAGTGAAAACAGTCAGAAAAGATGAGTAGGGGAAAAAATGTCAGTGGCCTCCACCATTCCTGTTTTGGGGGTCGTCTCATTGTTGCCCATCTAGTGCAGCTGTTGTTAATTTCATTAACACCAAAGCAGCTGAAACTGATTAACAACCCCCTCTGCTACTTAACTGACCAGATCAATATCCCAGGAGTTTAATTGACTTGATGCTATAATCTGATTAAAAAGTGTTCCTTTATTTTTTTTGAGCAGTATATATATATATATATATATATATATATATATATATATATATATATATACTGAAAGAAACAAAATTTTGTTCCAGTTTATACAAGTTGCATGTAGGAAAGACGAATAATACCCAGTTGACTTGACTAGAGGCAGAAGTTTAGAGCCTATATTAAAACTGTCAAACAAAAATTTGCACTTAAGAGTTAAGCTCTTTGTGATAAATGCTGTATTTCTAGCAAAACAACCAAAAAGCAAACGCATTACTGACATTAAGTTATTTATCAGAAAATGTAATATTTTGCCCAAGGGAACAAAAAGTAGTTTGCTTCTCTGAAGCTGTGGCGTTATCCAACAAAACATACAGCATCTAGTTATCTAGTATGTGTGTTATGGGGCTAGGCGATAGGATGTATAAGAGCGTCGCGCAGGGCTCGCTTGTCTGGGAGGACAATATATGGTGTGGAATGGAACCAAGTGTGGAGACAGATCAAAAAAGAATCCGCCTTAAATGCAACACGACTTGAGCAGGAAACGAATCAGACAGATTATGAACCCCAGGGCGTAACATTAGCTGCTAAACTAACTCCACGGGATTGTTTAAATGAGAGTTGTATTGCTTGTGAAACTGATCGAGGGAAACGCGCAGCCAACGGCTCAACTCAAAATCACCGCAGTGCTGTAGCCAGCACAACTCAAACTGGCCAAGGAACAATTTCTAACTTAAGAGAGCCGAATATTTATCTCACAGTGAGGATTCTCAATCTATCCTCCTCTTTAGTTTTCTGCCTACTTCACTTACGCTTTAGTTCTTCCTTTCCTTTCCTTACCAAACCAAACCTCTGTTTTACGTTTTCGAAAATTACCAATCAGAGTAGCGTGGCACTGCTCTGTTACCTGGCACAGATCTATGGGCTTATAAAGAGGCGGGGCCAGGTGCTGCACATTTACGCTGATTACCTGCGTAGGCACCTGAGAAGGCACCTGCCGCTTTACAAATATTACACTCTTTAAAGTCGATAAGTGTGTGTGAAAACGGTGGTTATAAATTAGTATTTAGCTAGTTTTTAATTAGTTAAACTAATGTTTAAGTAGTTAGTAATTTAGCTAGTTTGCTAAACTATGTTTTGTTTGTTTATTGGGCAGGGGGTGTGGTGTATCTTGAATGCTATTTACTGCTGTATCAATCAATCAAACTCTTCAACATGCCATCCCTCTGACTTCAACATACGGAATAACAGATTTCAAGCCATTTAATTGGGAGAAGGTTCTCAAATCTTATCAGAGCTAACTAGAACCCTCATAAATATGCTGCCATATAAGAGGGTAATGATACGACGATTTGGATCAATGCATTGATTTATAATTGATGCAACAATCATAAATTCATCATTATCGACAGCATCTATAATGCAAAATTTGTGATGAAGTTGGACCTGATTAAGTAAGGAGGATATTTGCATCAGAACATGAGTGCAAATGTGTTTACAACTTAGATTCCAAATTATAAGTTTTTTAAACAATATAATGATATATGAATAAATTATCCACTTAAATTCTAGCATCTTACTTGGCCACCAAAACCCATTCTGATGGAGTGCTATCAGCTGCTCTGAGCAAATGTTCTTATTGTTATTATTTCTTCACAGGAAGAAACAGCATTTGATCAAACCGGTTCGACTTTATTCACCCAGCAACAGAAAGTGGCTCAATATAAGGCTCAATAGAACTTTAAATCTGTAATTTCACCTTAATTGTGATGAATTAGACAATTTTGGAGTTGATTCGGTGCTTGCTGATGGGAATGAGTTATCGAACTACAACTAAAATAACACATTTTATTGACTGAGTTATTGAGCTACAGCTAAAATAATGCATTCTGCCTTTCATAGTGTGAGGCCAATGTTTGTGCCACATCACATATATTTAATGACAGCTAATAAACCTGTCTGCTGTAACAGTGCAATTATTTTTTTTTAGATGTTATTGACTAGTCTCAAACAAAGTCAACTTCACAGTGTACAAGAACGAAAAATTAACAAAAGAGAATGCAAGAGTGATAGTCTATTAATCTACAGTCATTTTTGTTCTGTTTAATCTAATTGTTATTAATCAACATTTTTTATGATTAAAAGTGTTTTTTTTTTTTTTTCAGTTCAATTCTCAGAAAATTAGGGGTGTGCATGGGGCAGAGAGGGATTATAGAGATGAAGGTTGCCAAGATGAATCAATAAAGTTTTTATTTGCATAGTGCTTTAAGCAATAGGTATCACAAAGCCCCTTTGCAGAAATCTATCTAAACTCAGTTTTAGGGACAATTCTACAGTATCCAGGTGAAATTATCCACTGATATAAGTATTCTAAGTAGATGTGAGGAGATTTGCAGCTTCAGGTAGACCAGAACCCCATTTATTCCAAATTTGGAAGATTTCAAACACTAAACGCTGATAACTCATGCAACAAATTGGCAATAATTTGCAAATACACACACAAACCCATTTAAATTAGTAGAAATAAAAGTGCTATTAATCAGGATTTCACCAAATGTTGTTAATTGCCTCTACTGGAGCTCTGATTATTTTGGGACTAACCCGGCATTTTCATAAGTGAATTTATCGAATTTTGTTTCAGGTTTGTAAATATAGCTGTTAAAGCATAGCCTTGTTGCTAATACATCTACACTTTGACAAAATGAAAGTCACCATCAAACATTCCCTAGCTAACCATCATGCTTGTTCCTGGTGGACGTGCTATTCAACTGCCTCCCCTTCATTGCTACTATCATTAATAACTCCATGATATCTGGTCATGTACCAATTGCATTCAAGTATCACTTCTCCCTTTTTTTTCTGAAATCCTTGAACGGACCATTTACAATCAACTCAATGTCATCAGTCCTCATCCTCCTTGATCTTTCAGCAGCATTTAGCACAGTCAACAACAAGACTGTCCTGTCCATCTTCAGCATTCTTGGAATTCATGGCACAGCATGGCAATTGTTTGCCTGGTCCTTGTCTCGTCCCTTCTATACTTGATCTCTTGGTGAGATCATATCCTCACATAGGTTTTCATACCACTGCTATGTGGCTGACACTCAGCTTATCCTCTCGTTTCCTCCCTCAGACACTCATGTTTTTGCTCCAATCTCAGCATGTCTGGCAGACATCTCATCATGGATCATCATAATGATCATCACCTGAAGCTAAATCCCAGCAAAACTGAACTGCTGTCCCAACATCAGGGTCTCCCTGGATATCTGTCAGATCTAACCATCTTTCACTGTATGCAACCTTGTGGTAATCATGGAAAATCAACTGTCCTTTTCCTCTCATGTTGTCAAACTGACACACTCGTGCCAATTTCTCCTTTACAACATCAGAAGGATTCGTCTATTTAGTCCTTTATCATTTCAAGATTGGACTATTGCAACTTGGTCCTGGCAGGTCTGCCTCTGCATGCACGGATTATCACATGTTGCACTGCACCACACTCCCTCTGATCCTCTAGCACTGCTTGGTTTGACCTACCATCTCTCATGTGAACAAGGAAGGCATGCATCAAGGCTCTTCTCTGTTCTGGCACCTTGGTGGTGGAATGAAGTTTTTTTTTTATTTTTTACATTTATGGCATTTGGCAGAAGCCCTTATCCAGAGCAATTTCAATTATCTCATTCATACAACTGAGCAGTTGAGGGTTAAGGGCCTTGCTCAAGGGCCCAGCAGTGGCAGCTTGGCGGTGCCTGGGATTGAACTCATTGACCTTCCGATCAGTAGTCCAACGTCTTAACCACTAAGCTACCACTGCCCACTTCCCCTTAATGTCCCCTTGATGTCTGAACAGCTGGGTCACTGGCTGTCTTCGAACAAAGACAAAAGACTTAACTCTTCATGAAGTACTTAAATTAGCACTTTATGTATTCTTTCTATACTAACCTCCCCAACAGGATGTTTGGATCCATTATACTGTATAGTGCAAATACGAGTATACTGCACATTTTAATATTGAGTAGTAAAGCTTTTAAATATGTAATTAATGATTCATAGATAATGAAGAAATGGTGAAAATAGAGATTAAGATGATATTGGAAAAGCCAAATACGTTCTTGTTACAATGAGGACTCTGGAGAGCTCTGATGATACAGCCACTGAATTTTATGGGCCATTTTCTATAGTCATTGTCTGAACCCAGGGTGAGGGTCAGAGAACAGTATAAGCAATTCCCTATTCAAATGCCAAAGAGGCAGCCAAGAGTAAATATCAGGGACATTTTAAAAAAAAAGCATTGAAACGCCACGGAAAAATAAAAGGAAGATGGAAGGAATTACATTGTAAAAATATATTTTTTCGTACTTTTGCCAAGTGAAATTGATCATTTTGTTTTGTTTGCTATTTGGTTTGGTTTCCTGCTGCACTAAACAAGTTTGAGGGACATGTAGGGCTAAAGACATACTCATTTTTTATTACATACAAATAACTAGTGTTGTGTATTTAATCCAGCAACCCAACAATAATTTTCTGTTTTTTTTGTTTTGTTATATATATATATATATATACAGAAAACATTGCATTTCTGCAGCACTACAGCTCTGTCCTTTGGCTCAGTTTGTATGTCTAGAAGCTTTCAAACAAAAGAAATGTGTGCATGTAATCCAAATACAGCACGTTTGCTTGACCTCCTGCATCTGGTTTATTCAGTGTTGAATTGCCATCTCAAATCTTGCAATAAAGCACACTAGAACTCACTTGGAAGTAGACCGAGACCACCTCACTCAGATGTTTGTAAGTGTGGTTGCTGTTTTCTGCACCAGTGAACCACACCAGTTTGATTCCAAAAGACAAACTACTGAGTATGTGAAAGCACCCAAAGAGTACGTCTTATTTCTGCATTTGTGCTTCCTCATTTCCTTTCCTCGATTCTTGCATCCTGTCTCCTAATCCCTCTGGGTGGAATCAATTTCTGGGTCACAGGCTGAAGGACATAGTATAAAGAAGTCGAAGAGATATCAATTAGAGTTTGGCTGCTTTGGGAAGCACCATAACTGAACAAACAGGAAGTGGAGGAAATAGTAATCTATGCTCATAATATATCTATGCTTTGTGCTTTGGAGACATGTGAAAATAATATTTTGGTGTTTGTTTAAACATCCTAAAGTGTTCACTATTTAATTTATTTTTAATGTGCAATTCATCTTCTCTTCATTTCAGTAATGATGAATATAAATAGCATTTGTAGTTAATAACCACTCCTTCCCTCTGAAAGAGTAATACATCTCTGAAAATGGCCTTTCGTTTACAGTAACACATGATTAGACCGTATTCAGCTATGAAAAATTATGAAAGAACCACATTATGCATTACCAGGTTTTAGATTTTTATCGGTTTTGATTTTTAATTGTTAAGACATTAACTCTGAATCACACAAATGTTTGAAAAGTTGCTTCAGATGCTCTGATGTGTGAATATTGGCTCTGTTAATTATGATCACTTGTTCTATCTGCTCTGGCTCCCTTGCAAAAGAGATTGTATTCTCAATGTTGGCAGAAGTGCAATTAGGTAGTGAACAGATCGATTGAACAGTACATCTAAAGGAACGACAGAGCGTTTGTTCTCTGCTGTTTTATGCGTTTCCGTATCTTGGCATTCTTCACCTCAACCTGTCACGCTACAGCGAATCCCATCTTTTTTAGCATCTCATTACTGCAGCAGCACAAACAGAAGGAGCCATCCCTGTTTAATAAAAACGAAGACAAATGAAACCATCTTACCATGTAACACACTGCACAATGCCTTCACTTTACCGAACACTGCTCTCAGGTTTTGGAGAAAGGAAATTAGTGTGGAGTGTGAATGAAACAGATCCCTCTGTATAAACACAGCTATCACGCCGGCACCTTGTTAGTTTGGATGTGCAGTGAAGTCATCATGATACTTCAGAACGGTTTCTCTCCCTTTTCCTCCACTCTGATTGAGACAGATTGATAAAATCAGACAGGCGAGAGAGTGTAGCGTGCGATACTGAGATGGATGAGAGAAAATGGATGAGTGGATCAGAATAATCGTAATAAGGAAAGAGGAGATAAGCTGGAAAATTGTAAGGCTGACAGAAAAACTGATAAGACTGCAGAGACCCAACAGACACAATCATACAGAGTGTTAAAAGCATTGTGAAGCCACTTTTTACACTAACAAAACTGAAAGTTGTACTGCATTATAACCTGATTCTCATTACTGTTTATATTTTACAGTTGGGGTCCTTTTTTGGACCTCTTTTTGAGTTCTAAAAATGTTGAAAATAATAAGAATGTGAATGAGAATTAGAATAAATGTAAATAAAACAATAATAGCGTTGTTTAATGTTTTAGATAAAATCTCCCTAATGAAGATAACTGCTTTCCTAGCAGCTTTGCACACTGTTTGGGAGTAATTTTCACACATTCATGGATGGATGTTGTCTGTTAAATGCAATTTTCAAACAGTGCCTCAGATTCTCGATGGACTTTGACTTGGCCACTGTAGAATATTCACCTTTTTGATTTTAACCACTCCTGCATTGTTTCAGTCCTGTATTTTGGCCCTATTGTTCTGCTTAAATGTGAAAATGTGAACTGTTTTTTTTTTTTTTTTTTTTTTTTAGCAGACTGAAGCAGGTTCTCTAACATCCCCTTGTGTTATGCTCCAAAAATTCTCCATTCAATTTTGAGAAGAAGTCTAGGTTCTGAGGGTGAAAAGTGTCCCCAGAACATGATGCTGCCACCACCATGTTTCACTATAGGGATGGTGTTAATTGAGGTATGGCTTGTATACAGTTATCTTCAGTTTGCACCACACACAGCACTTTGAAACTTGTCTTGAACAAAAATCTTGAAACTGCTCTCATCACAGTGAAAAAACACATTCACTGGGTCACTCTCATGCTTTCATATGGCTCTTCTTGAGCAACAGTTTATTCTTTCTTGAAATACTTGCTGACCAATAACTAATTTTGACATTAAAAAGAGAACGTGTTTTCAATAAAATACTGACAGGACAAATAAGTCTATCATTTGTTAATGTTACAACCCCAATTAGTCTAAGGGGTATGTGGGAAATAACACATTTGATTATTAAAAAATATCAGTTGTGTGTGTGTAGTCAGGGACCATCAACAAGTAGTACAAATCAACCAGGTGATTTATTTATCTATATACAAGGGGAAGTGTGTGTGGTGCCGAGTGATAGTATTTACAAATTTTTTACAGTAACAAGTACCAAGACACAAAAGGGGAAAACGGACGCGAGCGGCACCAAAGCAAAGAAATGAATAAAACAAAACAAGTCTAACTAGTTCCAAGCCCTCTAACCTAACTATAACAAAAGATAGCAAAATAAGTCTTCAGCATCCAGGACGCACTAACTAACCTACTCTATCTATCCAAACAAAGCGTACAGAGGGTGGTGCTCGCTCCTAACCTGATGTGTCTAATGTGTGCTCCTACGTGTTGTACAATGTATGTTACGTGACTTACTTACCTGTCCACTTTTCCCCAACACTAACAAAGTCACACACCAGCATAACGAACACTAAGTTTAACTACACAAACAAGTGACTAGAACAAAGCGTGGGAAACACAGACCAAATGGCATACAAGAACAAAAAAAAAACTACAGTAAGGCAGCATATCTAGAATAATGAAAACAGAGGTACAACTGGGTTTTGTGTTAACAGCCAGAACAACTCCTCATGAGTTTTTATATAGGCGGGGTCAGAGGTTGATTGGTGGTCACAGCAAATGACATCAGCGAGGATAATCGAGACGGACAGGAACGTTATCCAATGAGGCAGTGCTGCAGAGAGAGAGAGAGAGAGAGAGAGAGAGAGAGAAAGAGAGGGAGGGCGAGTTAATCAGACAAATCTGGTAAATTCCAGGGGGGTTGAATACTTTCCCAAGGCACTGTATATGTTAGTGGTTGGGTTTAATAAGGTTTACTAGTCAAGAAGTAATTTAACAAAGTTAGTCAGCTAATCTTTTCCATAGTTAAAGCAAAAACCTTTTCAGGACTTTGCTGTTTTTAGGCAGCAAAGAATGCATCAAACTGCACAATTAACAGCCATAGACAGCCTACAAACTAAATCCAGTTTCAATGTGTTTTAGGCTAAACTTTCAGTGACTAAAGTAAATCAATTTAGTGGGGCGCGATGGGGGTTTCCTGCCTCCGCCATGTGCTCGTGTGTGTGTAGCGTTTGCATGTTCTCCCTGTGCTTTGGGGGTTTCCTCCCCAGTCCAAAGACGTGTGCTGTAGGCTGATTAGCATCTCTAAATCGTCTGTAGTGAGTGAATGGGTGTGTGTGCAATTGTGCCTGTGATGGGTTGGCACCCTGTCCAGGGTGTGCCCTGAGTCGCCTGGGATAGGCTCCAGGCTCCCTGCAACCCTTTGTAGGATAAGTGTTACAGAAAATGGATGGATATTACTCTATTTAGAATAAGCTTCTTATAGCTTAATGATGGATGGTAGAGACATTGCATCCCAGCAGTGTATGGGAGGTTTTTCCACCAAGTTCAACTCTAGCCTCAGTAGTGACGAAAAATGTGCACACCTCCACACTTCATCCAAAGAGATAAAGTGTTAATGGTTAATAAATAAATAAATACTTTTCCCACAATAGTCTTCTGTAGTTGTTGATATTTTCAAAATAACAAAGTACATTTAGCTACTTTTTTCCCTGACTAGTGGACGTTCCCACAGCAGTTACTAGAGTTCACCGTATATTAGTCCACTAGTCTCTGCAACCCCGATTATTTATATGAGTGATCACTAATGATCCCTA